GACACCCAGGAGCAGAGACACCCAGAAGCAGGGTCCCCAGCAGGGGGCCAACAGTGACAGCTGATAGGGACCACATAGAGAGCTCAGGATGAAGAAATAACAAATGTTCAGTTCAGTAAAATGCTTGTGCCCTCCACAATTGCCTGGTTGCCACTCCCTTGCCCACACCAACCAACCTGCTTAGGCTCCTGTGGGATGCGAGGTGCCAGCATTGGTTGAAACACAGTGCTCTAACACAAAACGCTGCTCTGGACCTGTGGCACCTAAGCTTTTGGGTTCAGTGTCCCTTTACAATCTCTAGATTCAGGATCCCGAAGAGTTTTTGTCTATGTAGGTTACACCTATCCAGGGTTACCATATTATAAGCCATGACAATTTTAAACATTGACTTACTTTAACAACTTACAACGTAATAGTTAAATAATTCTATGTATATACTTTAATCTGTAGTTATGTATAATAACCTAAACAATGCACATGCTCTACACAGTTGTTACAGTGTATTATTTAGGGAATTGATGAAAAGATCTGGACATACTCAGTACAAATGCAAAGTGATCAGTTGAATCTGTGGACCCAAAGCCCACTGATGCGGAGGACAATTTAGACATTTGATAAATATTTCAATTTACCTTTAATATATGTTTCAACATTCATTTAACACTCACTGATTTTCCCAAGAGTATAATTATCATATTCTCAAAAGAAAGATTACACGGTTTTACTCAAAAGCAAGATTACGCATTACACATCATTCACCACTTTAGAAAATCATGAAATCAACAGCAGCTCTGTCCCTGACACTGGACCACCAAGAAAACACTCCTTGCGGTTGGGAGTAGACTCATAGGGGTCTTACTTACTTTGATACTTTGTACACTACAGTCATACCTGAACATTCATGTTGCCATGCTAATCTAAGGTAAACTCCCCTTTATTTTGTGATAGTAAAACCAGACCTGCGTGTGAAATGAAATTATTAAAACGTTATGGTAAGAAACCAATGCTGGGGAAGAGGTCAATTCCACTCCCCTCTCTCAGCCTTTCTCCAAGAAGTCTAATTAACCAAGGGTCCCTATCTTTTGGATTGTAAATAACTATCCCAGGAATCTGACTACTCCCTCTTGAAATGTAACAGGTGCCTGGGCAGAGCCTCTCTTCTTACCTGTTTCTGTCAGCATGCTTCATGCTAAAGACCCTGCACAAGGCCTTCAGGCACACAGATTAGGAATTTAAAAAAAAAAAAAAAAAAGAGGAAAAATACACAATGATGGGATGGGTCTAAGATGATGTAACCTATAAATATCGTGAAAAATTGTGGATCAGGGCTCAGAATTTGGAGTTTCTGTTCCTCTGGGTCCACAGGCATAAAATAAGGTCTGGAATTCTCCTCCTCTCCCAGTGCTGCTTGCTGCTTCTAGACAGGTTTGGGAGGCCGTCTGTCACGTGCCAGCACTTTCCCCTCCTGATAGGTTGAGGCACTGTCGGTCATTCCCCCAATGATCTGGCTACTCTTAAGTTGCTGAAGACGGTAGACCCCGATCTTGAGGGTAGAAATAATACAACCATATGTGTCTTTATGCGTAGGCGTGCCTTCCTACAGCCCCATGGGTCGAGCTATGCTCACCTGTTCCCCTTGCTCTGTTTGGGACAGAATATTCCATGGAAACGCCCTTTGTGTGTCCCCTTCTCTTACTCTGCCCTTGGGTGTGGCCTACCTAGATGTCAGTCAACCTGCTGACAGCAGACATCATGAAGCTAGATTCAGCCCCCTGAAACCTGACCCCTTGCCTCATTTGAATGGCTTCTCCTCAATCTTTCTGCGGACCCTTAAGGACAGAGAAGCCATCACAGCACCCCCAAAGAAGAATGTATTTCTGACTCTTGTGTGGTTATTTCGCACAACCCAGTTCCCCTAGAGTGACCCTGTTTTAGTCGCAAGCAACATGGCAGATGGGTCTGTTTCCCACAACAATTTCTCTTTGCCCCATGGGACAACTGAAGATTACAAGGTAAGGAACACGGAGGCTTACACAGCATTATGAGAGAAGTGCTGCTCTGACACAGCTGAAGCATGCCACCACCAACCTCACTGATTCCATGAGAGAAATACTGCCTATTCAAAGACACAAGTAGAATGCACTCCAGCAGGGCAGGGATGTGGAAGTAGGGTCTTCACATCACTGGCAGTATGTTGTTTCAAGCAAATTCACAGGTGCCAGATGTTGGGAAAGTGATGGTCCAGTTTGGATTTTGAATGTCCCCAAAAGGCCTATGTGTTAAAAGCCTTGAGGACAGCAGTGTGCTCCAGCACGCATTTGGATGGTGATGAGCAGCCTCACCACAGACCAACGCAACCAACCAATCGTGGACTAGAACCTCCAAAACTGAAGCCGAAATAAATTTCTTTATAGGTCAATTATCTCGAGTATTCCTCATAGTAACAGGAAGCTGACACATGGGAAATAATGATTATGTTAACTTTATAAAATCATTAAGCACTATTATACAGTAGGTACTTGGCTTCTGAAGGTCCATTGAAGCCAAGTACACATTTTTGTTTTTTAAGATGTATTAAGGGCCACAGCCGAATCGGGATGACGCATGGCATTTTTGCCAGAAGTAGTGGTTGAGAGGTGACGCCAGCGAGCCATTAAGATGATGACTTTTGAGTTCTCTCGGAGTTCCCATTGAGTTCCGGTTGAGCTCTCACGGGGATTCCTGAAGAGTTCGCGTTGGTTGGTGAAGTTCCGGTGGTGGGAGTTCCGGTTGGTGTGTGGTGTGCCTGGAAGGGCGCGAGGGTGGCATTCACGTGAGTTCCGAAATATAGTTTGTTCCTGCTTGAGTGGCTCGTGATTTGTGCCCAGCTAGACTGCGGCAAAGATGCCTTATGGAGGGATGCAGTGGCTCATGCCTATAATCCCAGTGGCTTGGGAGGCTGAGGCAGGAGGATCTCCAGTTCAAAGCCAGCCTCAGCAATTTAGCAAGTCCTTGTCTCAAAATAAAAAATAAAATGGGCTGGGAATGTGGCACAGTGGTTGAGCACCACTGGTTTCAATCCCCAGTAGCAAAAAAAAAAAAAAAAAAGCCTTATGAAACTTTAATAGGAATTTCACCTTAAAAGTAGCAAGAATCTCTTATGTCTTGATTTCACTGTATTAAAAAGCAACATATTACAAGAGCATAAAGCCAAGTGTTTGCAACATATCATCAGAAAATGAGGCAATTAAATGTTCTGGGGAGTTAGCAGATAAAATGCCCACTAATTAAATTTTTTAGATGTCAAGTTATAAAGGCAGTAATTAATATTGCTCTTTGCTCAATGACAGAGAAGTTTAAAAGACATAATAAGGTAAGCTACTAAATACATTTACAAAATGTTGTAGTAAGTAGTAGCGTAAGTGCAATGATCAATATCAAAAATGACCAAGACAGAGCAGAGAACGCCTTCCTGAAATATCTTATTCCAAGAGCCCCTCTGGATCTCACTAAGAGCCTACTGACTCTTGACACAGACACAATCTACACTAGCAGATAAGAGGGCAGAATTTCACTGAAGCATTTCCATCTCCTAGAAGGGGTGAAACTTTTAGGTCAATCAAAAAGTCCCAAGATAAAGAATTTTAAAGTTTAGAAATGTCACTCTAGCTCATGAGGAACAACTTTAAAATCCAGTTGTGATGATGACAAGGTATAAATGTGTGGTTTATCCCTGGAAGAAAACATTTTGGAATCACAGAAAAGGAAAACATACGTTCAAGGGAGAACGCCACAACCAGCCCCCTCTGTAATCTGACTTCTCCTGATGAGCAAGAGGACACCAGGCCCTGCGCCTCTGCCCTGAAGACCACCAGGGGCTCCGGGGCTGGAACAGTCTGCTCCTCTCAGCCTCACAAAGGCTTCCCTGCCCTCTGCGCAGTCACTTTCCACTGATCCCTTCTTGACACTGAGTCGCCTCCCTGGAAAGTGGGATCTGTGACCAGATTGACTGTATCCTGGTAGCTCCAGCACCTGGTACTGCCCAGGAAAGATGCCAAGTGGAGCAAGAACCGGATGAAGTCAAATAGGAGTGACACAAAATCATTCATCCTTCGTCCCTTAGGTCACCACGGAGCATTCCACAAGTTACACGCATTAATTGTCATAAAGCATGAACGAAGGTGAAGGAGCATTCTCGGTATTTTAAACGTAAGTGGCTCAGCCAGCCTTCAAAACGGCTCATCTCTACGCTGCGGAGCCTATGGGCTAAGTGGCACAGTCGCTTCAACTCCTGTGACGGTCCCTCACGGTGCGCCTGATGTCTCCCCGCACCAGGGCCAGGAGGTGACGTCCTGCGCTTCCCCCGGAGCCCTCAGCCCGGGCGGGTCGGCAGCTGCACCGGGGCTGTCGGCCGTGCTCGGCGGCGGCGGCCTCCGCCCCGGCAACCCCCGGGACAGCCGAGCCCGCGCCCACCCGGGGGGAGCAGCGGGGCGGGGAAGCGCGCTCTCCGCCGAGCGCCCGGCCGCCGTGGGCGCGAACGCGGCCCTGCGACCCCGGCCCTCGGCCGGGCCCGGCTCCGCCGCCGCCCGCGCCCCCACGCCCCTCGGCCCTGCCGCCCCGACCCCGGTCGTCTCCGAGCGGCGCGCTGCGGCCTCCGGACGCACGTACCTTCGCTCCGGCCGAGGATCCGGCAGCACAGGTTCTGCAGCAGCACGTTGGGCGACTTCTGGTCGGGGGTCGCCATCGTCGGCCAGGACTGTGCTCGGCGGCAGCCCCGCGCCCCCCGCTCCTGGGCCCCGGCTACGGCGCCGCCATGTTCGCGGAAGCGGCCTCAGGCGCGCGCTTCCCATAATGCCCCGCGGCCCCGCCGCATCGCGCGTGCGCGGCTCGCCCGCCGCAGGTCCCGGGCCTCCGCCCGCGCGCCGGCGCTCAGGCTGCACCCCGCCGTCTGCGTGCGCGGTTACACTGCGCAGGTGGAGGTTGGCTTCACACTTCTGATGGAAACTGTTTAAGGAGTGCACGGCCTTTAACCGTGGGTGCGCCCCTCCTAAGCAGAGGCCCGGGGTCGCGGGCGTGAGCTGAGGGGTAGAATCACCAGCCGCGAACCCCATCCCCGGCTAACTGCCGTCCTTGGATCCGTACGTGGGCAGAGCGGGCAGTGACCACGGGGCGTTTGGGGTGTGTCCAGCTGCTTTCCCTCGCTGGCACTCTCAGGCGCCCGGGGCCAGCGCACTAAAGTCCAGCTACCTGAGGGAAGGTCGGGAGACCGGGCTGCGTGGACCAGGAACGCTTCCGACGGGAAGAGCTGGGGCATCCTCCCGGCGTTCCCGCCAAGCACGGTCTGCAGCCCAGGGCAGCGTGGTCAGCGAACAGAGCGCGTGTTCTCAACATTAAACCTGGGGATGGTGTCACAGCCTGGTGGAGCGAATCATCTCCGCCTGATGGGGCAGCAGAGGAGGACATGCTGTCGTCTGCCTGCCTTTTGCTCTAGATCCACTGGCCTTGCTGCCCTGTCCTGCCCTGCTCTGTGTGGGAGAGAACGCTGGCCTCCTGCAGGGTTCCACCAGAGGAACCCAGCCATGGAAACCTGGGGGGAAGAAGAGATCCGCTCATAGCACACTGTCTTTGTGAGGCTGAGATGTTTTCTCCCGGGCAGCATCTTACTGTCAGCCTATTCTTCGTGGCATGGAGACTGCTCCAACAGAAGCTTCCAGAATGTCACTATGGTGACTAACAGCTCTTCGCATTGTCTTCCCTGCCCTGTGAGCAGTAGGGGCTTTGCCTGCTCATCTCACCAGCCCCAGCCCCCTGCCTCTGTCACCCTCCTAACCAGTTCTGTTTAATCCCTGTGTGGTTTCTGCTTTGGACTGATACCCAGCACAGTCCTTGGTAGTAGGAGTGACTCTGAGCATTCACAAGCCTTAAGAGGGCATTCCAGGACTGGATTGCTCACAAGTCTAAGCTCCAGTGTGTTGACACGAAATCAATGACACGTGGGTAATCAATGACAAGGAGTGTCAAAGTGGTTTATATTATTTTGTGTGGCTGCTGGTTGATAGGAAGACCTTGAAAAATTAAGTAGCTGCTCCAGCCAGGTATTTATGTAGCAGCACGACTACAAAGACTGAGTTGGGACAGACAGTACAGGAGTGCATTCCGGTCTTAGTCTTTGCATTTCTAACCCCAGGTACAATCACAGAGCCAGGGAGCTCCCATAGCAGCTCTAATAGGATCTCTCATTTTTGCACCTGCAAAGTAGTCAGAACTGAGGAACAGACCCAAACCTACCTGGCAGTAGGGTAGGAAGCAGGCTGAGCACAGTCCTGCCACATCTCATATTAAGGTAGGTCATTAATTGAAAAATGGGGGCTGGGCATATAGCTCAGATGGTAAGAGTGCTTGCCTCGAATGCACAAAGCCCTGGGTTCAATCCCCAGCACCACCACCAAAAAAAAAAAAAAGAGTTCTTGATTAATTGAAAAGTGGGGCCCTGAGGATTAATTTAGACATTGGCTAAAACATGAAATCCAGAATACTCATCTTCAGTGGTCTGCTCAGCCCCTTTACAGAGACAGACCTGCCTTTCTCTGACGTCCAGGAACAACCAGCATGGCTATTCTCATCATAAGTAAGTTAAAATGAAAGTTCAAAGAAAGAAAGGGTAGGCAGACAAAAATCACAGAAGAGGAGCAGAAAACCAATTTTTAAATGGTATTAAAATCCAACCATACTAATAACTACAGCAAAAATCATGGAATGAAGCATCCAATTAAAATCAGAGACCGGCTGGGCATGGTGCACCTGTAATCCCAGCAACTCAGAAGGCTGAGGAAGTGTGATAGTAGGAGCAAATGTGACTCCATTTTGTTTTATGACTTCATCCTGTAAAACCACCATGCCAAGGAGAAGAGTCATGACTGGAGCAAGATGTTCTTTTCCTTTTGCTATAGAAACCTTTAAGAACACGGAACTACCTAATGGGGCATTGTTTCTGTAACTAGGGTAACGGGGCTCTGTTTCTGTAACTGGGGTGACTGGGCTAACTGTGATTGGTTAGGCTTCCCTCCGCTTGACTGCACTGTCCCGCTTCTGTAACCTGGCTTGCTTGCATTGGCTAGACCCCCTGAACATCCCTTTTGCGGTTTTCAGGCTTATAAGGAGTGCCCTTGCAATTGTTCGGGGCTGATCAGGGGAACAGCTTTATGTTCTGGTCAGCCGCCACCGGTGTGCTTCAATAAAGGCTTGATTCGATTATACGTGAGTGGTCTGGAAGTCAGTTCATGAAACCCTGGGACAAAGCTTTAACTATAACATTTGGGGGCTCCTCCATGATCCATTTCTTCCCTACCCTCACGCCAAATTTGCCTCCAATGACGGGCCTTTGGACCTCGGCCCCGGAGTAGAGGGGAGCTCCTGAGAGACGTTCCTCAGCCTCACTCCGAGGACGACTCCAATCTGTCCTAGGACGCTCTGAAAAGCCTCCTGCCGGCTGTCAGTTCTGGTGAGTCGACTCTTCTCTGGGGAAAAAGGTCAGATTGGACGCAGTCGCTTACACCTTCCCCGGGACAGGACGAGACGTTGTCACTGTCTCCCTGGAGGTCTCCCTGTGAGACCTCATCTGTCTGTATCTGGGGCCCACTGGAGGCCTCCCTGGGAGGCCTCATCTGTCTGGGGACAGGATGAGACGTCGTCTCTGTCCCACTGGAGGCCTCCCTGTGAGGCCTCATCTGTCTGGGGGCGAGACGAGACGTGGTCTCTGCCCCATTAGAGGTTTCCCTGTGCGACCTCAGGGATTGTTGCTTGTCCAGTGTCTGTTCTGCTGTTTATCATTTCTCCAGTGTCTTCTGCTGTTGTCATTTGTCCAGTGTCAGTTCGCCAGCCATTTGTTCTGTTTGTGGGGTCTCTGCCCCATTAGAGGTCTCCCTGTGTGACCTCAGCGATTGTTGCTTGTCCTGTGTCTGTTCTGCTGTTTGTCGTTTCTCCAGAGTCTTCTTGCTGTTTGTCATCTGTCCTGTGTCTGTCCGCCGGCCGTTTGTCTTGTGTTTAATCTGTCTGAATGTTGTGTGCGGGCCCTTTTCTTGTTCCCATAACCGTTCTTCTTTCATCAGGACTCCTTCGCTCCACCAACATCAGAGACAAGGAAGCACTACAGAGATCTCTACCTGGACTCCTTTAACTTGCTTTCTTAACAATTCTCAGGACTTTGTCTGTTGGTTTGTTTTTGTTTGTTCACTTTGTGTTCTGTGTTAATTTCTACCTCAGTTTGTTTCTGATGGAAAAAAATGGTTAAAACGGTTTTAACTGTGCTCACTACAGCTTGCATTAAAATGTAAAGTGCTGTCAACAGGACTAAAAGAATTGTCAAAAGTAAAAGCTAAAGGTAAAAAGAAAAAGGCATTCTAGAGATTGCCTTCATTTAGGAGCTGGGCCAGGTGGCCAACTGGGTAAATCATGTCACTTCCTATAGAGGACAGATTAAAACTAAAGTGTTTTATAAAATTATCATTCCTATATTGTATAACAAAAAACATAATTTTGTCTAGGAAATTTGGCTTTTGTCTCTCAGTATTTACAAGCATGAATAACTCCCAACTATTAAAAAATGGTCTAAAGATTTTTCAATGTCAGGCTAAAAGTTGGTGGCCGCTATCCAAGAAACCAGAAAAACCAGTTTAGAATGGGACCCCAACCTGGGGGACTCTCCCAAGGAGACCAATGAAGCTGCGTCTTTGGGAAGTTCCTCCGGGGAAAAATAAGCCCCCTTCGTTTGTCTATGTTCCCTTGACTCTTTTCAGCTTTCATGAACAGGACCACCTCAGGAAAAAGGTCAGAAAACTTTTAAAATTCTATATTTGTTAAACTCATAGTTTTGATCCAATATGCCTAGGTTAATATGTTTTTCTGATGACACTCTGCTTTATTCTGAGGCCAATTTAAAAGGGTTAACTCTCAATCTAATAAGTTTTAAAAAATAAGCTACAAGGCTTTTGTTTGTTTGCTTTGTGTGGGTGCACCGGTGTACTGTCTGTCTATATGTATTGCCGTGTCTACACGTATTTGATACAAAAAATTGACATATGAGCTCATAAATTAAAATTTTAAAAATGGATCCAAATACTTTTGGTTAATATGATTTAAAAGGTTCAATTCAAATTGAGAAAATAGATAAAAGTACAAATGTCTTTAAAGTTACTAATGCACAGTTTTGTTTCTAGATGGTTAAACGGCTGTTAAAATGTTAATGTCTATAATGTGTCTGATATCCATTGTCTCTAGGATTTTTATTCAACAACAACAACAAAAAGATTACTAATACTATTCAATACACTTGTGTGATACCTTGTTTTTAAAAAAAGATGTAAATTTCATCTAAACGTATATGAAATTAATCATGGATTTGTTTGTTAGAGACATCTAATTGGTTTACAAAGTTAAAATGCTGACTGTTAAATATAATATCAAGTACTTTTAACTCCTTAAATTCCATAAGGTAAAATACTTAAACAATGTTGGTGTTTTCATAAATTGGTAAACTAAAAAGGAAATTTGTAATCATTTTGTGTTATTATAAAAACAAGGTTACTCTAAATTACAAAGTCCCAACAGATATAATTCTACATACAAGGAGTCAAGAGGTTTCAACTGTATTTCAATTAAAGTACTGTAAGTAACAAATATTTCATCTTATTAAAATAGATCAATTTATCTAAATTCAAAAATTCATAAGGGTTATTTCAAGATACAAACAAAAAAGGGTCAATGGATTAAAAATTATTAAAAAGTTCTAAATATAAAAATATATTTAATAAAAAACATTTC